TACATTTTAAATAGTACATAAATAGTACATATTATTAACTTTACTGAAGGCTGCTCAAGATTCAGATCCTTGCCCTTCACTTATCACCCTTCTCAATTCCTAAGCTGAAGTTGTATTTTAATAGTATTTTTAATAAATAAACAGCCATTCTGTGCTGAAGACCTAGCTTCAAGAAGAGGCTTCCGCCTGGCCTCTTACATGGACACTGTGGCCCATTGCCAACAGGGTGTCACTTCCATTAAGAGACCAAGCGCCAGAGAGAACCCTTCTAACACAGGTGCTGCATGTTGGCAAAAGATCTTTTCCCACCAGAGAAAGCACTCCCCCTAGTTGACTATATTTTTTTCATCTCTGGGTGCCTCAGTTTCTCTGCCCATGAGAAAGTACAGTAATGTCCACTTCAAGGGGCCGTTCGCTGGAAGGATTAAAGGGATGCTAGCCATGAGGCACTCTCAGTCACCAGGAACAAAGACATTCAATAATCGCAAAATTTTTGTTTCCAGTTTTTCTGGCTTGTGAAGAAAAGGCTCCCACCGACTTGAAAGACAGCATTACAGGCAGACAGGAAAGGCCCACCAGAACAGAGCCAATTACTCTCATTATCACTGTCCGGAAGTTCAGGGGAAAAAAAGAACACACGAGCAGCTCAGGAATTTGGGTGGCAAAAATACAAGATACTGGAGGGGCAGAAGGGATGGGCAGGGGCTGGAGGAGTCTGAAACAAACTGAATGTCTTGAGTTAAAAATACTTGGTGAAGATGGAAGCCCAGGAACAGTTTCTAAGGAGCCATATTCATATTCTCTGACCACCTGGCATAGTACATTTACGTATTTTTTTTCCCCATGCCTCTCTCCCTGTCCTGTATCTGTCCCTTTCATATGCTCTACATGTTCTAATCCGAAAGCCTAATGGTGATTCAATGACTAATTGCAGGTGGGATTGAATTTAAAACTTCCTGTTTAGATAGCATTTTGTAAGGTACCCACAAGTGATTAACCCATAGATAATGAGATTATAATAGTAAGATCTTCAAGGATGAGGAATGAGTCTGGACAAGTAGAAAATGCTGTTGTCACTCTGGTTAGCTCACAATCAAGTGTACAGAAGATATTCTCTTGTCCACTAATGCACACTATGAAATCAAATGGGGAAAAGGGAAATAGTAAGAGATAGCACTGCATGCAGTATTTTCCTGGCAAAAGCTATATCTTGAGAGTTCTACAAAATACTCTGGGAATGCAGACATTTCTTGATCAATTTGCCAATAAATTGACTTAGCTAGAAATCATGCCTTTGTGTGTGAACCCAACTGAAAGGCATTCGAATCTACTGGGCTAGGTAATTAAAAATCTGAGAAGATTACACAAACCCTGCAAGGCGCTGACCAGATGAGATACCCAACATTGCTCAGAGTCCAGCACTTAACATGCTTAGAGTTTGTGACCAAAAGCCATCCATTCTCTTACTCTGCTATAAGTCAGGTAGACAAATACTATAAATATAACAGTTCTTAAAATATTAATATAAAATGCTTTCATGTCTTTACCAGAATATGGGCATGAATTTAAGTACCTGGAAGAGGCAAACTACAATTCTAAAGTAAGATTCTTACAGGTCATGTTTATTCTCTTTGGTGATATATACAATGGTGCCCTTTATACACTGTTAACTTGTTAAGAATTATGCACAGGAGTCATCTCTTCTAAAAGCACACATGTTAGTCCTTCCCAGAGGGCTTCCCAGGTCTGTCTATTTCCAGATAATCCTTGGTTCTGAATATGTAAGAGGGAGACGCAAAGGGCCCAGAGCTGGGAAGGCCTCAGCACTTACCTGGCCAGCATTCTTCAAAACAAACAAACAAAAACTAAGGCTTATGGGGAGACAGTTGTTTGCCTACAGTTAAACAGGGAAAGCTTTGGGTTAGAAAATTTACTGTTTTGCTAAGGTTTAGCTATTTATTTTGGGGAAGGGCAGGAAGAGAGAGAGAGGAGAGAGAGAAAACTGCCATTCACTGATTCACTCCTTAAACAGCCACAACATCAAGCGTTAACCCAGGCCAACGTCAGGAACCAGGAGCTTCTTCCAGGACTCCCATATGCAAAGATCCAGGCACTTGAACCATCTCCACTGCTCTTCCCAGCATTTACTTCCGAGGTCATTAGCAGAGATCTGGCTCACAAGTGCAGCAGCCAGGATATCAACCAACATGTACTTGGGATGCTGGCATTGCAGCTTTACCTACTATGCCACCAAGTTTACTGAGCCAGTCTAAACCAAACCTGTCTTCCATATACTGCCCCCACACGTACGCACACAAATGCCCAAAGCCACACACAATCTTGCCACAGAGTTTTAATCCCTGATACATTTGCAATTCTATAGAAAAACACAGCAATCAGCCCATCTGGTACTGGATCTGCCCTTCCAAAGGAGGTTTACCTCCAACACAACAGCAGCGGGAAAGCCTCTAAAACAGGTCAGTGTCACTTCACATTTCCCAAGTGACATAGAACCTCACTTCTAACATGCCTGGGGGAAGGAAAATCTGAGAAACAGAAGACAAAATGTCATCAGAAAAATTCTTTGAGCATTTGCTGTCTCATGGAGACAGACACCATAGTAGGCTAGGAAAGTTAACGAAACAAACATTTCAGTGTACATGATGCTTTCTTTTTACATTCTTACTTTATTTTGATTTGAATAGCAAAGAGACACAGAGAGGGAGATGTAACAAAAAGAGAGGATCTTCCTTCCACTGGTTCATTCTCCAATGCTTGTAACAACCAGACCTAGCCAGATCTCAGTCAGGAGTCCAGAACTCAGTGCAGATTTCATATCTGAGTCTAGCACTCCAAGTACTTTATCCTTCACCTACTGCCTTCCCACGGACACAGAAGGAAGAAACTGGAAGCAGAAGCAGAGGTGGGACTCAAACCTGGGCATTTCAACTTAGGAATGAATGCAGGCATCCCAAGTGGCAACTTCATTGCTATAACGAACATTCACTCTTATTATACTCAGAAACTTAAATGGAGAAATCAGTTTAATGCAAGAAGGCATGGCTGGGGCATGTGTTTGGCACACAGCAGGTAAAGTGTCACCTGAGGACCATGCATCCCACAACACAGTGCATGAGTTTAGGTCAGAGCGCTGCTCCCAGTTACAGTTTTCCACTAACGTGCAACCTCAGAGACGGCAGACAACGGCTCATAGAGATGGTCCGTATCACCTACCACAGAGAGATGAGATTTAGATCCAGGTTCCTGGCTGTTAGGAGCCTTGGGGAGCAAAGCAGCAAATGGAAAATCTATCTGTATCTGTCCCTTTCCATTTGCTTTTCAAACAAATTAATCAAACAATTAAATACCTTTAAATCTTAACTTCCAAGCATAGAGATCTCTACTCATTGACCAGGAGGTTTTTCAAAATCTGGGGGATGAGGGGAGAGAGTCTGGAGTGTGGTGGAAGGGAAGGAACAGTACCAGTGGCATAGTAAGCTAAGCCTCTATCCGAAGCACTGACATCCATATGGATAAGAGTTCATATCCCAGCTGCTCCACTTCTGATCCTGGTCTGGGAGCAGTGGAGGATGGCTCAAATCCCTGGGCCCCTGCACCCATGTATGAGAACAGGAAGAAGCTCCTGGCTCCTGGCTTCAGCTTTGCTCAGCTCCAGCTATTGTGTCCATTTGGGGAGTGAACCAACGGACAGAAGCTCTCTCTTTCTCTCCTTCTCTATCTTGCTCTCCCTGCTTCTGTCTCTGCAAATCTACCTTTCAAATTAGAATACATATATATTCTAATTTAAAATTATTCATATATTATTATTATTACATATATATGAAACTTTCAAAAAATGCTGATAGTCCAACCGAACAAGATTTACTAACTTTTAGGCAAAATTAGTTCTTTGTTTCATAATTGTCCCAACAGTTAATCACTGATTGCTAATTCTGGTTCCATCTCTGAGAGTAAGAAAACATTGTATCTTGAATATGCTTAGAGATCAAGTTTTTCCTGAGGTCAATTTCCATTGCAAATACACCTCAATGCTTCAAAGAGTGTTTGTACCCGTACCCTCACAGGTAACTGCCCTTAGACAGTATCTAAAGAAGGTATGAAATCAGGGACCTTTGAGGTTCTAGGATGGGAAAGATCTTTAAGATGAAAGGAAAGAACAGGGGGAGAAAGCTGAACTTCCCATTGAATTCCAGGGGACAGAGGTGGTCATTCCTAAAGGAAGACTACTGAAGAGAAGACGAGGGGAGGGGAATATAAAAAGGAAAAAAAAAAAAAGAAGAAGACAGGAGGGATGGGAGAGGGGACAAAAGGCAGAAAAAGTTTACATCGCAGAGATATTTTGCAAGAACTGTTGGTGATACCGGATATCCTGACAAGAAACATTGATTACAAAGGGGCTCTTTGAAAAAGAGTTTAGAATGCAACAAAGAAGTTCTGTTCAATCACTTAATTGTATATTGTAGGTGTGCACTCAGGGATTGCCCTTGATTCTGCTTAGAACATTTTTAATTAGTGTTTTCTCTTAAGGAATGTATTCAATTCAGCACGGAAAAGAAAGAAATCATTGAATTAGCTTGACTTTTGTAGCATAACAACTCAAAACTACTCCAATCTCAGTCTTTGACAAAGGTATATATCCATGTGCAGAACAACAAAAACAACAAAAAATCCCTCCTGCAAAGAAAAATCCAAACCCTAAATTAGCAGGCTAATTCACAGTGTGGACATAAGTAACATAGTGAGTACACAATTTGATATTTGGGTTGTCAAAATGAAAAAAGAAAGCACACTAAATTCTACGAATGAGCTTTTCCAATCCCAGAAATCACTAAGAACTCAATAGTTTTCTTGGCTGAAAAGACTTGTAAATATCTAGAGGAGCCCAGATTTTGAAGCCCCGAGGACACTTGCTAAAACTAAGAAATTTGGCACTTGTCTTTGCACACAATTTGGGTTTTCTTTCAGAATTGATATCTTACCAAATACAGCCATCTGTGTTCCCTCTGGGAAAGGTTCAACTGTTCTGTTCTCGTTGACATGATGTTTGGCTAGAAAAAAAGAAAGGAAGAAAGAAAGAAATTCAAGTTTAAGTGTAAAGTTCTACACGCATACTAACACATGTCATTAAATGTGTCAATGAGTCTATTTCCCCTTTTGAGTTACAAAGACACCAATGTTCACCCTCTTCAGAAAGTTCCATTATTCTGTTTTAGAAGACAAAAAAAATCTTAGTTTTAGAAGGGCCTAGTTCAGGTACATAATTTTACAAACATGTGTACAGAGACTAGAGCGTGCATGGAGCTGGACAGTCAGTGGAGACAGAGTCAGCCCAGTTTGAACATCTCTGACATCTGGGCAGAGGACCGACTGTGCACCTCATAGAGAACAAGAAAAGCCCTGGGCTCCACACTGCATACACTGCCTCACTCCTAAAGACTTCTAAAAGAACACAGACCTGATCAGGAATTAAAGCAAGAAGAGTAAAGAGCAGAGTAGCATTGGGATCAATTTTCTATCAGACAGAATTGCAAAATATGTCCACTGTTGATCATTGTTCCCAGGGACCAAAGACATTAGGCTTCCTAGGGACCAGATATCATACACAGGCCCATGCTTCTCATTATGCCTTCATTGTCCCTCGCTGGACCTCACCATCGGTCATCTTCTCATTGTAGTGCATATCAAAGATTCAGAAACAAAAAGCTTGCAGATTGGGCTTTCCAGTATTAACTTGTTCTCACCACCCCACTCACCCCCAGACTGTGACAAGAGAGAGAATACAAAAGTATGTTCTACTTGGGAATATTTTAATATCTTCAGGAATTTTTGAATGTGAGCATTTATGTAGAAAATCCTAAGAGCCAAACAGCCAAAACATGAACACTACATCATGGAACAGAGACTGTAACTGAACTGGTCACTCACGGGAGCCAAGGGCTTAGGACTACAGCCAGGCTCAAGGGGTCTAGTGAAGAAGAATAGCATGGTTCCAGCCCTTGAAGAGAGAACAATTATCTTTCAGAGGTTGAAAAAAATCACAGAAAGCTTAGGGCTCTATGCCAAAGTCCTAGAAAGTACACTGAAGGTACTATAGGAGCTCATGGCTGAGGGAGAGTGGGCTGGGAAGCCAGAGATTGCTCCATGAAGGAACTGCTCTTGGTGTGGTCTTAAAGAAGGGTTTGCAAAGGTAAAAGTGGGAATGTGAACTGATGGAGGTCAAGGAGGCACCTTCCTGGGCAAGAAAACTATCCAAACAGAGTGAAGGTGCTGCCCTGAGAGGCGAGGAAAGTTAAAGACAGAAGACTAGACACAAATCATAGAGGGTCTTATCCCCCTCCCCAAACTCACAAGAACCTTAGCCTCAGCAGCAACACCGCCAAGTTCCTGGAGAATCTACAGGTTCAGCCTAGTGCAGACAAGCCTTTGGGATACACCTCCAGCACAGGAATTCTCACTGATTCTTCTGTTTTTGTGGCATTATCCTAACAGTCTAGGAGGAGGAAAGGATGCAGAGTTGAAAGCACAGGGTGGTAGTCAACTTGACAACTTCACAGTATTCATCAGTGCCAACTGGCCCAATCAGCACATATATAGATATAAGATGGGAAGTCCCAGGTGACCCAGGTTAGAACCATTTATCCCTGAGTTCTAAGAAATATAATGAGTTTCCATATAGAATTTAAGGTTCTGCCACTGGGTTTGAAAATGCATGCTTTTGAGCCCAGCACAACAGTTCTGTAGCTAAATCCTTGCCTTGCATGAGCTGGGATCCCATATCGGCGTTGGTTGGTGTTCTTGCTGCTCCATTTCCCATTAAGCTCCCTGCTAGTGGCCTAGAAAGCAGTTAAGGAGGACCCAGAGCCTTGGACGTTGTGCCTGTGTAGGAGACCTGAAAAAGCTCCTGGCTTCTAGCTTCTGATTGTCTCAGCTCTGGCCATTGGAGCCACATAGGGAGTGAACCAGCAGATGGAAGATCTTTCTCTCTGTCTTTGCCTTTCCAATAAAAATTTAAAAAAAAAAAAGAAAAAATACTTATTTTTATCTACAACAGGGTCAAAAACCTGCTAACACTCTTTAACTCATCAGTCCCACTGCTTGGAATTTAAAGAAAACAGCAGAGGAGAAAAAGAAGAAGTAACACTCTTAACAGTATTTCTTAAAGTATGACTTGTAGTGAAATATTAAAGTCAACTAAATATCCAAGAGTATATAAATTGTTGGGTAAATTATCACTTGTGCTTTATCAAGTGGATGGAATTTCATACAGAAAGAAGGTATAAATAAATAAACCATTGCCCCATTCCCCCATTTCTTCACAATAAATTGCAAGAAATCTCCTCTGAAAACCCTCCAAGCTCATTAGAGGGAAAAGAACAGCCAGCATCATGGCATGGCAAGTACCTCTACCTGCAGCAATGATATCCATATAGGCAACTGTTTAAGTCCAAGGTACTCCATTTCCTTTCTAGTTCCCTTCGAATGTCTTGGGAAACCTAGAGAGGACAACATAAGCCCTTGGGTCTCTGAACTCATGTTGAAGACCTGGAAGAAGCTTCTGACTTCAGACCAGCCCAAATCTGGCCATTGCACTAATTTGGGGAGTGAACCAGTGAATGGGAGAACTCTCTGTCTCTTCTTCTCTCTCAGTAACTCTGCCTTCCAAATAAAAACAAATAAATCTTAAAAAATAAAAGGGGGGGGGGGACATGATAGCAACTTTCCATCCCATAATGAGAAACCAACAAATTTCTTCCAACTGACAAATAGTTCTGTCCCTAAAAACCAAGGCCATTTTCTCACTAAAACTCTTCTAAGATAAATGTTTGGGGATCCAAAAAATGGGGACTGGGGGACAGGTTGATTGGGGAACTCGATAAGCATTTATACATTTTTGTTTCAAACTTACTGGGCACATTTCACCACCGATTAGAGGAAACTTGCTAAGTGGCAGAGACATGCATTGATTGGTTCCTAACTATTGATTACACACAGAGTATGAAATGGAGACAGGAGGGCCTGACAGGGACATCTGTTGCCCTCCCACAGCAGGGTAGATGACTCCAATCTGACTGCCTTGGCACCTGTCCCTGCTGGGCACATGTCTGTGGGGCCGTGCCTGAGCCACACACTCCAGGAGGACAACGTCTGCTGATGGCGATGACTCGTCCCCAGCCAAGGGTACATGAGGACGCAGAATAGATTTTCATTCATCTTGAAAGCCTAGTGCTTGAGGAGCAGAAAGGTTAATTAGAGCTAGATTGGGTCAAAGTCAACTGTGGCAGAGATTTCTGAAGGAGAATTGGAGGACATGCAAAAAAAAAAAAACCCTCCAGAAGATGGGTCTGATATTGTTCTTTGTCACTATCTAATGCACTCAAATTTTATTACTGCTTTCTTCCTTAAAAACAGTACAGTGAAACTACTTGATAATGTACCTGTAATAACATCAATTCAGGCACAAACCTGTCCTGTGCTCAAAGTGGGAGAGCTAAAATCTTTATCTCAGCTGGCAATGGAGGTGGCAATAAGGGCAGATGAATACGTGACATGAAAGCATGGAAACCAAGGGTGACCCCTCAATATTTTTCTGGAGGCTCAGTCTCCTCCCGTGGGGTGACCGAGAGAATACTATCCAGTTGAGTAGTCTATCAACAACAGCTGCTGCCTGGGGGTATGGAGCCCAGTTAGCCATTGGGACATGGAATCCTCGCAAGCCTGGAAGAGCCTTGGAGTAGACTAAGCCATCAGAGCTGCAGGTCAGCTAAAGTGGGACTGCTCACTCTCTATCAGGCATATAATTAAACCTGCCAGGAACCCAATCCATGCTTTACCCAGTTGAGTCTTCCGGACTGACTGGTGTGTTACCTCTAATCTTTCATGCAGCTACTAAGCTTGGAAGTGATGAGAAGAGGGCACACTGTGGACCAGAGCACACTAAATGGTAATTTTAAAAAAAAAAAGTGTGTGTGTGTATAAAATATCTGTTTCTTTGTGACTCTCCAGGTCACAAATTCATAGTTTCTCAAGGCATCAGGTTTGAGACTAAGCAGGGTTCCTATGTGGCTAACAAGTCTTAGCCATGGCCTAGCCTCTTGCAGCTCTTCTGGACTGGCCTAGGTACTCTCGACTGAAATAAGCATGATCTGGCTGTCATGCTTAGCAATGGCAGAAGAGAGAAAATGCAGGCTCTAGTCATGCATGCTCAGAGGCACTGTGTTCCAGGTTGTTTTTGTCCCTCACAGTTCTTGTAACTTTTTGATTAGTGTTTTTAGGTTAAAGCTAACCCAAAGTGAGTTTTACCCTAAACTGCACCCTCACTGTGTGAAAAGGAGATGAGTAGGGGGTGACGGGCAGTGGGTAAATTGCTGGGAGGGCACTGCTCAGCCTGAGAACGAAGCTCTGCTCCTCTCCACCCACCCTGTGTCTGAGGAAGTCCAAGTGCTCCCTACTGACTGCAAAGGTGTGAGACAACAGCAGCTGTCGTCTGTGGCAGGAAGAGGCGAAAAGAGATCATGGTGGGAATTAGACAAGGTGCCTACTTCCCCAGGGCATGCAGAAGGCAAGCTTTACTCTCAGGGCTCAAGGAGAAGAAGAAGGCTACCTTTGCTGTCCTCACTATGCAGAGACCAACAAGTGGATGCAAGCTGGGAACTACCTACCTAAAAGCAAACAGCAGGCTATGGAAATAACAGAGGCAAAACAGATGACAGAAAGAGATGATTATAGCACTGAAGCCAATGTATGCATCATTCTTTACCCTGATGATCTTCCAGAGTTTGGATTGTGGTTTGTTCCCCACAAGTCCATGTGCTGCAAGTTCAGTCCCCAGTGCAGTATGTTAAGAAGTGACGGGACCTTGATGAGCCAGGGCCCTAGACAGAGGCAGTAGGTTCACTGGGGGTTAAGGGACTTACTTCCCTCAAAAGGGATTAATGTGGTTCTCTTGGGACCCATTAGAGAGCGTTCCCAAAGAGAAGGCTGTTATAAGAACATAAGGCTGGTCCCTCTCTGTTCTCTTGCCTTTTGTTTTGAACATGATATTCCCCTC